AGTATAATATATAGTACTATTAAGGTTAGTATATATATAGTACTGCCTCCGGTCCTTAATATAAGACCCCGTTTGACTTTTTGTTTGGTCCTAATTATAAGACCCCAATCCATTTTGTCTCTCATATTTATGTATTTTTTCCAAGATAGTCCTTCTAATAATGATAGTTCTAGCCAATACACTTAATTAGTAAGGATATTTTAGGAATGACAACATTTATTTATTATAAATAATTAACTTAACTTACTTCTTTAATCTCTTCAAATAAGTCAACTGGGTCTTATAATTAGGACTGGAGGTAGTACATCAAATATTACCAGTCCTAGCTTGAAAAGCTGCCACATCCAAAATATAATTAAAAAAATTATACCTATCTAATCATAAAACATGCACTTCACTCTAATCTTTTCCCATTTCTCCTCTTTAATCTCTCTCACACTTGTTCAATTTTTCCGCACTTTCTCCCCTGCTCTTATGTGCGTCGCGAGCATATATAATCATGATTATGGATTTATGGGTTCGATGGGGATATAGCTAGACATATATAAAACTGGTGGATATGATGATGACCCGAAAACCATAACGTGCACGAATAATGATACGTGATGCATGTACCGTGATTTAAAACATGCTAATACCCGGGTGTCATGATAGTTGCCTTGAAATACCATTGAAAAATATTGAAGATAGAGCGCGTTCAAAACGTGATTCTTCAGAATAATAAATATATTTTAGAAAAAAATACTTATTTATGACATATAATTAACTTAATTAATTCTATTAATGTACTCAAATCAGTCAACTAACTCTTATATTAAGGACCCGGTATATATTTAATTAGCTCAAATCCAGATATCAATAACAGAGAAGATCAAAGACTGCCGCAGAGGTTGACGGGAAACACAGAATCAAGAAGGATGACATATACTATTATTTTATATTTAAATTCAAAGCAAATATTTAGCAACAAAACTTATAATTAATTTATCGGTGTTTAATTAATCCTGAAGTGGAGGACGGAATATTTGGGGGGGGGTAAAATGGACTGCGTGCACAGTAAAAGGCGGGTGGGTGAATGTAATGAGGAGTGAAGAGGAGAAGCGAGGTTAGTTGAGGAAACTACCAAAATGAAGCCGTTTGATTGATGCGTGCAACTGCCACTTCCGTTTGTGCTTGATCTTATCGATGGATTATCATCTACCCGTCACTCCCATTAATGAGTAAATAAAGACCCCGCCAAGCACAAAAAAACAAACAAATTGACCAGACTTTATCACGTGATCTATGCCCCGCCGGGAAAAATGTTAAGTAGAAGCGAGGGGAATTTCCGATCGATTTACAGCGGTCCACGCGCGTTAGTTATGAAACTGTTATGGATCAAAAATGAGTTTGGACCTTAAATACGGCTCAAATGAAGGCAAAAGGGAGTGCATTGAAGATGATTTGTTTTTGCCATTTGGCTAAAACATGAATTTGAACTCCGTCGTCGTCACCATTTTTTAACCATTATTTTTCACACAAGAATTTCGTGGATAAATATGTAGTACGGCATATAAATACTTTGCATACATTCGCTTGACTCGTGAGATTAGCCCATTTCTATTCAGTTTCGACGCCCAAATGAGATGGAGTAACTTGGCTATTTAACCACCAGTAATATATACGATATGATTTTAAGGTTGAACTGCCAGCCTTTCGACGCCACTGTTTCATTAATAAAGCTGTTCAACCTTCAAAACTCCCGTACGCGGCCCTGCATCATGGCGCAGAGATCAAAACAGTAAACAAAATTTTTGAACAGGACTCCCAAAAAAAAGTCAAGGTGAATTGAGCAAGTTAAAGTATTTTTCCACATCCAACATATTAAAGTATTTCATGATGTATCTAGTACCCTGAAATATCTTGTTTGTTTTGATGCTGAATGTATCAAAAAATATTAGATGCATAAAAAAATATTTTAAAATACTGGATGTATTTTAAAAAAATATTTTAAAATATTAGATGTGTCACAAAATATTTTAAAGTATTATGTGTAGCTTAGAGGTGTTGGTGTAGCTTAACTCCAAAAAAAATGCACCAAAGAAAATCATAAAAACCAGGTGCTGGAATTTCTCGCTCAGGCGTGCATGGATCGAGATTTATCCAATAGTCTAAAAATCCGTTCAGTCTTTTCTAAATTAAAGTAATATAAAAATCGGCTAGTGAAAATTGAAAAGAATGAAATTGCAGAAATTCAGGAACCAAAGAAGCGATAATAAGTAAGGGCAAAACTTGATATATATATATATATATATATATATATATATATATCTGGGAACGTTCTGATGCCAAATGAATAAATGAGGGGGAGAAAGGGAAGGAAGAAAGTAGCGGCACTAGGTTAGCAGGGACGCCGTACGTGTAACAGAAATGGATACGGATCTGTTTGATCATATCTTTCCCACCCGACCACCTTCCCTCTCGCTCTTTCCCCATACCCCGCCTTTTATGTTAATTAAATAAAATCCTCTCACGTATCGCCTGAATTTTATTCATTAATAAAAACTAGTTGATCTGCTAGAGATCGTACACAGGATATGCGAGTCAAACGAACGGGTCACAATTCAAGTATTATAGTATAACAATAAAAATTTAAGAGTACGTGTCACTTGAATTATATTCTCAACCTCTATTTCACCTGGAAGCCATATATTGAATTATACTGTTTGTAATTAATAAATATTAGTAGTATTATGTTATTAGCCAAAAAAAATAGTACTCATCTGATTTACAATATAAAACCTAATTAGAAAGTTAATATTATTCTTAAATATAAAAACTACTCCCTCAGATCTTATATATAAGTTTTAAATAATCAAACTATGTCTAATAAACTGGCACTTAAAATTAATTAAAATTAATAAACAGGTCATAACTATATTTTTTTAAAAAAATTCTCCTTATTTATTAGGAGAGTAAATGAGAAACAATAAATAAAAAATGATGAATGACATATATGAGGTAATATTAATGTGTGTGAGAGAATGTTCAGTCAACTAAAAGTAAAATAGAGAAAAAAGTAATAAGTATCAGACAAACTGAAAAATAAAACCTATATTTTGGATCAGACTCGAGGGAGTATTTTATATAATTATCAGCTTTTTTAAAATTAATTTTATTGATATTCTTTTAATAATAATTAAGTAGGAGAGATAAAAAAATTAAAATAATACTTATGATATTTAAAAAAATATATCATATTAATTAATTTAATTAATATTTTTTAGTCTTACATTCAAAATGAGAATAATACTACCTCCACTCCTTAATATAAGAGCTCATTTGATTTTAATTTTGGTCATAAATATAAGATCTCAATCCACTTTGTCTCTCATATTTTTTTTATTTTTTTAAGATGGTACTTGTAATAATGATAGTTTAATAAAAATATTTTAGAAAAAATAACACTTATTTATTATAAATAATTAATTTAACTAGTTTTTTAAAGCTATTAAAATTATTTAACTAATTCTTATGTGGGAAAATCTCAAGAAAAAACCCTTGGAATATAAAAAATTTCAGATTGGGTCATGAAATCTTGTAAAATCAAGAAGAATTGACAACTTTGCCCTCATTTATATTCATTCACTATAATGATTTAATGAATTACTATAAGGGTTTAGGTGTTACCTAAATTCATGTAGAGAATAACTACTTACTTTTTCGTAGTCAGGTGCTTTGTTATTAACTACAACCAATCATGTAATTACTATAACTGTGTAGGCGTTACTTCGATTCGTGTAGAAAATAACTACTCACTTTTTCGTAGTCAGGTACCTTGTTATTAACTTCAACTAATTATGTAATCATTAGAACAGTGTAAGCGTTATATAGATTTGTTTAGAGAATAACTATTCACTTTTACTTAGTCAGGACAAAATTGTCAATTTTTTTTAATTTTACAAATGACAGATTAAGTCATTGAAACATTCTATCATTTACAAAATTTTAAGACTCAATCTGAAATTTCTTATATTCTAAAAGAATTTTTTCTGGAATTGTCCCTTCTTATATTAAATATTAAAAATAGGACGCAGGAAATTTTTTTCTCCAATGGATGTGTGAATATAATAACTGGCATGGGCAGAATCATAAAGGACTGAGGGAAGAGGAGAGGAAGCTACGGACGGAGCTCAAGTCTCGAGGAAGCGGAACCGTACACTTCAGAGATGGGGAGTGACCGGCAGGTGTCGGTGGGGGATTGGGCCGAGGGCCGTTAAAGGAATGGTGGTGGCAGGTATACAGGCTGGACTGACAGGAAAGCAGCAATGATTCGCCCTCCGATTCGGCGACCGATCTTGTCGTTTTCTGCCACCTCAGCCAGAAGCGGGCCCCACTTTCCCAAAAAAAATCCCACACGAAATGCCCTACAGCCTGGATTCCTCAGTCAAACTCAGCCTCCGCCCCCCAACTTGAACAAGAAACCTCACCCCCCCCCTTTTCTCTCTCTTTCTCATCGTTATCCCTTCCTTCCTTTCTTATATTTCCTTTTTGTTCTTTGTTAAATAACTATATTAACGTGAAATTTCTGGTTCTCTCCCTCTCTCTCTGTCCTCATTAACTTCCAGAACTGTTGTAGTCCCAACAGATTTGACGCCCTCGCTGCCTCTCTCCCCCCCCCGCGTGAACGCCACACGCTGGTGCGCCCTCGCATAAAAGAGGAGCGTGAGAGCGAAACGGACGCACTGTGGGTGAGTAGAGGAGGAAAAGACAAGAGCGGATGAGGATGACTTGGGTGAATGGGAGCAGCTGAGAGGTGACGCGTGTCCAGTGACAGCTGTATCCCAAATCCCAAACTAACCGCCTGCCCCGGAAGAAGCGGTTCCCATTGCCCATAACGCTTCTTCCAAACTCCACAACCGAACCCGCCCAACCGGTCTCCTCTTCCACTCCCTCTCACACATATAAGCCCCTCCTCACCTCCGCTTCTTTCCATTATAACCAACAACATCACGCGACCCAAAACCCCTCACCCTTCATCGCAACAACTTATCTATTCTTCGCTGTTTCGTTGTTGTCTCTCTCTCTCAATCCACATTCCTCTCCTTCTTCTTCATTTTCTTATGATCTCCGGATTTTGAAACGGACATGAATACGGTTGCCGTCAGGAAGGATATGGACCGGATTAAGGGTCCCTGGAGCCCCGAAGAGGACGAGGCCTTACACAAGCTCGTCGAGAAGCATGGCCCCAGGAACTGGTCCTTGATCAGCAAGTCCATTCCCGGTCGATCCGGCAAGTCCTGCAGGCTTCGCTGGTGCAATCAGCTCTCCCCTCAGGTCGAGCACCGAGCATTCACGCCCGAGGAGGATGAGACCATCATCAGGGCTCATGCCCGTTTCGGTAATAAATGGGCCACCATCGCTCGCCTGCTCTCCGGTCGAACCGATAACGCCATCAAGAACCACTGGAACTCCACCTTAAAGCGCAAGTGTGCATCCATGATGATCGATGACGCCGCTGCTGTCGGTGGATTCGATGGCAGTTTCAGCCCGCAGCCACTTAAGAGGTCGGTCAGTGCCGGCGCCGCTGTACCCGTATCCACTGGGCTGTGCATGAACCCGCCCACGCCGGGAAGCCCTTCTGGATCGGATGTGAGCGAGTCCAGTGTTCCCGTTGCGTCTTGTTCTCAAGTCTATCGACCTGTACCGAGAACCGGCGGGCTTCTACCTCCCGTAGAAACGACGTCTTCTTCCAATGACCCTCCCACGTCATTATCCCTGTCTCTTCCGGGCGTAGACTCTTCTGAAGTCTCCAATCGGCCTGCAGACCCAACACATGCTGCACCACCGACCAACAGTACGCGCTTGTTACCCGTAATGGCGCCGACGCCAGCTCCAGCTTTCCCGCCTGCCCCACCCCCGGCTCCGGCGTCTGCTCCGATGTCGATGCCTCAGCAGGTTCAGTTGGGTAGGGATGATCGAAGGGGCGAGAGGGGTCGGAATCAGAATGGGTTATTAGCTTTCAATTTCAGTGCAGATTTGCTGGCTGTGATGCAAGACATGATAAGGAAGGAGGTGAGGAATTATATGGCGGGGTTGGAGCAGCAGAATGGGGTGTGTTTTCAGGCAGCTGATGGATTTCGAAACGCTTCGGTGAAGCGTATTGGAATTAGCAGGATCGATTCATGAATGTCATCAGAGGAATAGAACAGAGCAGGGATGTGAAAAATGTGGGGTGGGACTGAGAGTAAAAGTGAAGCTTCCGCGTTTTGTTTATGATGGTTTTGGGCAATAATTTTGGGGTACTGTAAATAGAGAGACAACGCGTGGTCGAGGGAGAGAAGTGGGTAAGGGGTTGGGGACAGAAAATGGGAAAGGAACTTCATTTCCAGAGCAGAGGAATGAATGGATATTCTATGGGGTAACAAGTCTGAATTTTCACCAACGTGTTCACCGTCTGTGACTCCTGTTCTCCGCGTCTGGTGTGGAGAAAAAGAAGACAGGAACTGAGGAGAGATGTAGGATGAATCAAATCCGTAAAATCTCAATATAAGTTAATTTACTGCCCTTATCTGCACTTCTAAATTCTAATTCAAGACCCTCAAGAGTTGAACCTGTTTCCCTGGCCGGTTTGGTTTCAATACACTGAAACGGTGCAAAATATAATGTGCTTCAAACTAAACACTGAAAATAAGACAATACACAACTTCAGTACCCCCGTCTAGTATATTTTGGGTCGAGTCGAAATTTGTTCATTTCTTAAATTTTGATATTGACTCAAAATCCGAAAGAAGCTTTAAGGGAACGATTTGAGATCCTGGGCTGTTTTATTTTTCTGAAGTAAAAATTGACTGAATCCGTGTATCAAAAATAAATAAATTGACTGAATCCGTTTCCTTCATGTTGCTGGGGACAATGAAAAAAAAACATATGGGCTGTACGGGCAGGTAAATGGGTTCTCACCTCGAGTCTCGGTGTGTAGTACATAGCATGTTGGAGCATTCGGACCCATTCCATTTTTCCACTGTATTCTCTATTCAAATTCAATTTTTTATCGGAAAATTACAAAATTTTAATCGGTAAACCAGAAGTTCGAAATTTTTGTTATTTAAAATGAGAATGATGATTGTGTGTTTGTATTCACACAGTTAACATCTTTGCCTTCAACCGTTCACACAAAAGTGTTCCTCGCAAATAAATTTTCTTTCACAATTAAAAATTTCTTTTAAATATTCAACTTTTGTCATCAAACATCACTCAAAAAGGATTTGCCGGTTCAAAATTATTATATTAAATAAGTCACATGATTTTTTAGATTCAAAATGACTCCAGATTTTTATTTTTTATATTAAAAGGGCGCAGGCAGTAACAATAACAATATGAGATGATCTGGATCAATCCTGTAACTTCATACTTATATATCACTGGACTATTAAGCCATTGAAAATGGCTGCAGAGTCAACACGCTCAATAGTAGGGAATCTGCTTTGGCAAGGCCTGGTGAGGATGACGAAAATTTGTAAACTGATTGCAATGGAACTGTAGGGAAGTTAAGAGTGGCGTGAATACAATGAATGAGAGGGGATGGTGATTGATCAAGCAGGGGAGCTCCCACATCCCACATGATGGAACCTCTAACCGCGCGATAAGTGATGTAATGCCACTGAAATTAAGGATATGCCTACAAATACAATGAAGCTCAACTAACTAACAAAAGGATGGTGCAAAACCTCTGCACATTCTTCTAACTCAACTGCCTTGTCCCATCATCATAAACCACGCCTATGCACATTCTTCTAACTCAACTGCCTTGTAAGGCTATGCCTTCATGGCCACTACAAATTCTGCCCAAAACAACATACTCATACACACGTGTGTGTGTTTATAACACACTAATTCTAAAAGATTTTTATAGGCATTATTAGGCATTAAACATGGACCTCTCTCTCTCTCTCTGTAAAGATTCAAATTTTGATTTGCCATGTTAAAAAGGGCTCCGTTAAATCTAAAGCCGTTAGTTAATGAAACAAATGTTTGATTCCAATATTAACTAACTGAGTCCGTTTCCTTCAAGTTCTAGAGCTGTCCATCGCTTTCAGTAGACTTCTCTTAAGAAATCCAATATTAACCAACAGTCCCGTTTTGCCTCAATACAATTGCCGCAGGCTCTCTTATTTGCGAAAAGTAGATACAAGAGAGCGAAATTCGTTTCGAACTGATCCAGAATGTTTATATATGAGATAATTAAAAAAACGACTACTACTAAAAAATGTTGGCATTTTTCTAAATATACACACTATCTAACAATCAGCAGTTCTCTACTTACAGTGAAAACCTGAAAACGCTTGGTCACAAATTTGCGGTGTCCAAGGCGCTCGAGCTAGTGTTGTTTGTCGTAAGTGGCAGAAGTCTAGATTTTACTTTGTTTATCAACTGAAGCACATCCTGCTTCCATGACCAAGCTGGCTCACGTAAACCACGTATGGAATTTAGGCAAACAAGCAGGGTTCCACCTTCATGTAACAGAACCTACATTCATTTAAAAGTTAAATCGGCAACTTGAAAAAAGACCAATAATGCAAAAATAAGCGAGTGAGAAGCAGCCAATAATTGAAGATGAAGTCAGTGCGTCCTATATCTTCTGCACGCTAAAGGTTCCACTTTCAACCAAATTATTATTACCCAGGATTCCAGCCTACAGTAAATTGGCACTACCTCCAATCCTTAATATAAGAACTAGATAACTAATTTGTGAAAACTAAGAAAATTAGTTAAGTTAGTTATTTATAACAAATATGCATTTGTTTCGCTATTCTTAATCATGAGCATTGTAACTTCCTCTTGATGAGAACTCCCTCACCATGTGTAATTAATAGGGGGATATTTTGGAGGAAAAAAATATTATAGATTTGAGAGATAAAGTGAAATGAGATATTATATTTAGAATCAAAATATACTCTGTCTATTATTATTATTTCCTTAACATTGGCAGGTGCCCTAGGCACGGCTAAAGAAGCTATTTTTTCAACTGAGAGGTGGTGAGAATTGTGATGACCACCGTTTAAAAACGATAAAAGGACTCCTAGTTCCATTCCGATTTAATCATGATAGAAAGCTTTCTTCGGTTCACGAAGCAAAATCACATTTATTTACTATGCAAAAACTAATGGGAGATTTTTTTTTTTTTTTTCCAGCTCCATTCCTCCTTCAGTAGTTCAGTATGATAGATTGCTTAAAGAGAACAAATTTTATGACGCACGACCACACTTATTTTCCTCGCATAGACTCATGGAAGACACAGCCAAAAAAAGATCAGCATCAAATTATGAAATTGAGCTTCATACCGTTAACCACAAGGGCAAAAATCCCAAGACCGAAGGAAGAGACGCCATGAAAATGCTGGACAATGCCAGGGCCACATTTTGTTTAATCTGCATATGCACTAATGTATAAGGAAAAAACTATGCAACTACAGAAGGAAACAACACGTCGAAACATAGGTACTATAAATTACCAGTGAGGTTGTTTGGCGAGACTTGGCAATACAAAATGGTACTGCAGAAATATTTTCCCGAAGCAACAGCACATCTGCAACTGCTATGGCAGTTGCACTAGCACGATGAGCAAGCACAATCCCTACTGTTGCAGCAGCAAGTGCTGGGGCATCATTAATCCCCTCACCAACCATGATTAGGCCTCCCCCTGCCACAATAAAAATATCTGTTCTACTCAAATTTGAACATCCCAAAGTTGAAAATGAAAGAAGACTCGCGTGAACTGGGGGCGCACAAAGCATAAAAGTAAAATCAAACTCTAACATAAGGAAGGATAAGTGAGTTTGGAAAAGACAGCATCCGATTTAGTTGTATTAAATTCAAGAAGAGTGAATTTGCTAGAAACGAAAAACAGTCCCTCTTGTTAAAAATTTCCAAATAGAAACGAATCAGTGATCACAACAAATACAAAACTGAAGAACTGGAAGCAATGCATCAAAAGCTCACCCCCTCCAACAAAAAAAAGAAAAAAAAGGAAAGAAGAGAAAACAAACACCAAAAAAGAATAAAAAGGTGAATGGCAAATTTAAAATTAGACAACAAAGAACCTCAAAAGGTAAAGAACTTCAACCTTATACGTGTGAAAATATTACAATAGAAAACAAATCAAAAAGAGATGTAAAATGATTAACTTATTATAGTTCAAGAAACCTACCCATGTCCCTCGAGATATCCTTCACATGGCTCAACTTATCTTCAGGCTTAAGGTTGCAATAAACCTCATTGATGCCTACAGCACCTGCAACTCTTCTTGCACTGGAATCGTGGTCACCAGTTAACATCATCACACGAAAGTTTGCTTCGTCTTGCAATTCCTGTATGACATTAGAAACCCCAGGCCGAGGTCTATCCTCTAAGTGGATCAGTGTTACCTGCGGCAAGTGCATGTTCATTTAGGTTCGTGTGAAAACGAATGAAACTGAGAAAATGACATATTATAATATAAAAAGCTGCACAACAGTCCAATTCAACATAAAAGACTACAGAAGGAAAAGATTTTGACACACACACACACATATATAAGGCGAAGACTTGCAGGTCAGCTCCTTTGCAACAAAGGAGTTTACTGCATAAAACTATCGGCAACTTGAGTAGCAGATCACTTCACGCTTCTAAAAAGTTCAAACCTGCACCCTCCCCCAAGAAAGAGAAACACTGTAAACTTACAACACACCACCTTTTTGTCAACTGAGAGGGCAGCATGAACAAATTCACTTCCATAAGAAGATGCATTAACTGCTTCTTTGATCCTTTTAGACTCGACTTCAGATTGACATAATGAGGTGATGAAATCCACAGATCCAAGTGATGCTTTTAAAAGTTTGGCTCCTCCAGTTTCTGACTATACCGAGACAGACATCAATTTAAGTCATTGTACATGCCATTACAGAGAAAAATTTGAGAAAGATAATGCAATATATGGTATTCACTTGTCACTTCAATGAGGCCAAACCATTGATGAGAAATGGCAAAGATAATGAATGCGGAACATTAAAAGGGCACGGACAGAAACTGTTCAATACTAAAACTATTAGACAATTCAGGAGCACCGAACAGCAGATAAGCTCACGGCACACATTATGGTTTATCCTTGCAATTAAATTAAAAACGTAAGTAATAATAGTCAACGAAATACCTCAATGCTGTTGAGAGTAGCAACAAGTCCTCTACCAGGAAAATACTCAAAACTTTCAACAGAAACAGATGGGAGGTCTTTCCCCTCACTGTGGTCGACAACTGCCCTGCAATATATTTTTCCTCTCAAAAAATACACGGAATAGAAACGAAGGAAACAATAGTAGTATTTAGGAATCAGGATCACACTTCACAAATTTTGAGATGATGCAAATGAATTCATTAATTTAATATGCAATAACAACTTAAAAAAACAATTTATAGAAAGCCAAAATTTCAAATAAAATGAGTGATAAAAATGTGTCAAGAACAGTTTTGAGCCTAAAAGCTAAAGCTGTCAAACGAAGATTCATGTAGTTTCACTACAGCATCTAACATGTTC